CCAGTACTTTATTCCACAGCACCACACCAGGACTCTTTATGATAGAGTGCAACTGCCTTATAGGGTTTCCTAGGCTGTAATCCTAAAGAAGCAGCTAGATCTCTAGGTCTTTGTCATTTGAACCTGATCAGTGAGTTTGAACTGCCAACCTTTTGGTTAGCAGCTGAGGGCTTAACTTTTGCGCCATGAAGGTTCTATTATTTGCTTAGCCCTGATGAATATTTTTATCAAAGATTTTAACAGATTCTCTTTCAACAAATATTTCTTCCCACATCAATAGACTCATGTATTAGGATTTAATCCTCACAAAATAATAATACTTAAAATAGCATTTATGGATTCCTTATTATGTGCCAGCTTACTGTATGAGTTGTTTTATTATCTCTTTTAATTCTCATAAAAAACACTGTGAAAGTTGATATTTATATGACTAATTTATGAATAAGGTCAATGAAGTTAAGTGATTGTCCCCATCATACGGTTAATAGGTGACAAAAATAGCATTCCTAGGAAAATCTTCTGAGGTCATGCATTCTTCCTTCGAAAGCTGCACTGTGTTTGTAGGCAACACTTCGAAAGCTGTTTTCAAGGAAAGACCACTGGACATAAGAAGACTTTCATTGGAATGCTATCTTTGAAATTTACTATTTTAGAGGACATTACAATAACTTGGAGAGTTTGTTAAAACACTAATAGCAACTCCTCTCCCATGGTCTTTTATTCAGAGTGGGGCCTGAAAAATTATATTTCTCATGGTCAGTAGTTCAAAACTACCAGCCATTCCACGGGAGAAAAGTGAGGGTTTATGTTCCCGTACAGATTTACAGGGTTGTTATGAGTCAGAACCAACTCCATAGCCTATAACCACCACCAGTGAGTCCTGGTGTGGCACTGTAGGATGAGCACTACACTGATAACTGCAAGGTTAGTGGTTCAAACCCACAAGCCACTCCTTGGGAACCCCATTTGCTATGAATTGGAACAGACTGCAGGGCTCTTAACAACAACATATCCACCACTCGTCTGTCAGTCTGTAGTACTGTGGTGGCTTGTGAGTTGCTGTGATTCTGAAAGCTATGCCACCGATATTTTAAATAGCAGCAGGGTCACCCATGGTGGACAGGTTACAGATGAACTTCTAGATGAAGACAGACTAGGAAGAAGGAGTGACAAACTACATCGAAATATGTAGTCACTGAAAACCTTATGAATAGCAGAGAAACACTGTCAGATATAGTGCCAGAAAATGAGCCCCTCATGTTGGAAGGCACTCAAAATGTGACTGGGGAAGAGCTGCCTCCTCAAAGTAGAGTTGACTGTGATAATGTGACTGGAGTAAAGCCCGTGAGACCTTCATTTGCTGATGGGTCACAACTCAAAATGAGAAGAAACAGCTGTAAACATCCATTGAAAATCAGAACTTGGAATGTACGAAGTATGAATCTGGGAAAACTGGAAGTTGTCAAAAATGAAATGGAACGCATCAACATTGATATTATTGAGCTGAAATAGACTGGTATTGGCCATTTTGATTTTGACAACCACATGGTTAACTCTGCTGGGAATGACAAATTGAAGAGGAATGGTGTTGCATTCATCATCAAAAAGAACATATCCAGATCAGTCACGAGGTACAACACTGTCTGTGATAGGATAATATCCATGTGCCTACAGGGAAGCCCAGTTAATACCATTATTATTCTAATTTACACACCAACCACTAAAGCCAGTGAGGATGAAATAGAAGAATTCTACCAACTTATTCAATCTGAAATTGATCAAACATGCAAACAAGATGTTTTGATCATTACTGGTGATGGGAATTCAAAGGTTGGGAGCAAAGATGAAGGATCAGTAGTTGGAAAATATGACTGTGGGGATTAGAAATGATGCTGGAGAATGCATGATAGAATTCTGCAAAATCAATGATTTGTTCATTTCAAATACCTTCTTTAGACAGCATAAGCGATGACTATATAAACATGGACTTCACCAGATGGAATACATAGGACTCAAATTGACGATATCCATGGAAAGAGACAATGGAAAAGCTCTATATCAACAGGCAAAATAAGACCAGGGGCAGACTGTGGAACAGACCATCAATTACCCATATGCAAATTCAACCTGAAGCTGAAGAAAATGAAAACAAGTCCACGAGAGCCAAAATATGACCTTGAATATATCCCACCTGAATTTAGAGATCATCTGAAAAATAGATTTGATACATTAGACACTAAAGACCGAAGACCAGAAGAGTTGTGGGATGACATCAAGAACATCATACAGGAAGAAAGCAAAAAGTCACTAAGAAGACAAGAAAGAAGGAAAAGGTCAAAATGGATGTCAGAAGATATACTGAAATTTGCTCTCCAGTGTAGAGATGCTAAAGCAAATGGAAGAAATTACGAGGTACAAGAGTTGAATAGAAAATTTCAAAGATAAGCTCAAGAAAATAAAGTCAAATATTACAACAAAATGTGCAAAGATATGGAATCAGAAAACCAAACAGGAAGAACACGGTCAGCATTTCTCAAGCTGGGGGAACTTTTGAAAAAATTCAAGCCTCGACTTTCATTCTTGAAAGATTCTGTGGAGAAATTACTGAATGCTGCAGACAGCATCGAGCAAAGATGGAAGGAATACACAGAGTCACTGTACCAAAAGGAAATGGTTGATGTTCAAGAGTTTCAAGAAGTAGCATATAATCAAGAGTCAACAATACTGAAGGAGGAAGTCCAAGGTGCATTGAATGAATTGGCAAAGAACAAGGCACCAGGAATTGATGGAATCAAAATTGAAATCTTTAAGAAAGTGAGGCAGCACAGGAGACATTCACTCATCTATGCCAAGAAATTTGGAAGACAC